ACTCCACCACATCCCTGGGCAGCCTGTTCCAGTGTCTAACAACCCTTTCGGTAAAGAAGTTCTTCCTAACATCTAACCTAAAACTCCCCTGGCACAACTTAAGCCCATTCCCCCTCATCCTGTCACCAGGCACGTGGGAGAACAGACCAAAATTTTCCTTGAATACTGCTGACAATTTCCTTTGCTCTTGAAATTTGTCCTTCATGCATGCGTTTGACATGCTGTTCTCTACCACTGCTGGGTGCTGGGCTCCTGAGGGCAGCAGGGCCATGCTGGTGTTGGGCAGTAGCTGCAAGGGCAGCATCCACACCTCCTCAGTTGCTCAGTCCCTATAGACCTGTCACTTCAGAGCTGGGCTAATAATTAAAGAAAGAGGGAAAATTCAAAGAAGAATTTTCCCTTTCCCTCCCCAAAAATGGCAGCAACAAACTCCATGCCTGAGCAATATGTATCTATGTCCAGAAGGAAACTTCGCATGCCCCACACTGCTCATCTCCCTTTAGTCAGGCAAGTAGCACCACACCTTCCCAAGCAGTACTTCCTCAGCCCAGGGAAAGCTCTTACATTCCTCCTTCAGACAATGTCTCTATATGTGCTTCAGACTCTGCATGTCCAGAGGCATCTTCAGTTCCTGGAAGATGCCATGGAGCGCCATCACTTCCCCTCAGACAGCTGAGCCCCTCTCAGCACTGCAGAAGCCTACCTCTTCTGGGCTGGCTAAGCCCTTGTCTAGTGGGGGCGTCTCTGCTGGCTCTGGAGACCACTGTTCCAGCTCTGGGACCTCCATGCCATGCAGAGTACTAGGAGGCTCTTTTCTGATAGCTGATTCCTCAGGTGCTTGCCCTGTTAGGCCAGGCATGACCTGCCTTTCTCAGTGGGTGCCAGGGCAAGTCAATGGCAGTGGTGATTGAGGAAATGCATGCCTTACAGTGTGCATATCCATCCAGTAAGGGAGAATTTCACCTCATTCTGTGGGATTCACAGGATGAAGTTTATTAAAGCTCCAAAACAAACAAGTGTGTCTTAAGGCAGAATGTACAGACTGACTAGCCAAGAGATGTTTAAAATGTCTTATGACATCTTCACAGCTCCTTTTGCCAAACAAAGAGGAATAAAAAATATAAAAGGAAAAGATGTGTGTGCAAACAAAACATTACAATTCATGCTGAAACTTCCATTAGGTCACAGAATCACAACACGGAGAAATGGCTTTAAACTAAAAGAGGCTAGATTTAGATTAGGTATTTGTAAGAAATTCTTTATTTCAGAGGTACACAACAGAGAAGGTTTGGATGTCCCGTCCCTGGAAGTGTCCAAGGCCATGTTGGATGGGGTTCTGAGCAACCTGGTGTGTCCCTGGATGTGTCCCTGCCCATGGCAGTGGGATTGGAACTAGATGGTCTTGAAGTCCCTTCTAACCCAAACCATTCTATGATTCTGTGATTCTGTGATTCTATGATGGTATGAAATGCCCCAGGTTACAACTGAAGTTTCTGCTCATGCAACTCTTAATGAATATAAAGTATGATATAGTTTAAATGTATGATCACATATAATTTTTTCCTACCGACCTATGATTTATTCACCACACAGAATGGATGGTACTTACTTCAAAAGCAGCTGTTCAATATTTTATTTTTCCTTCATTGTTTGCATGTAGTTATAACATTTTCAAGCCCTGCTCTGAAGACAGAATCTCTAATTTCCCTTTGGGCTCCTTTAGGGCAATCAGCATTAAATACCTAAAACTCTGAGTGAGTGCATTTATTTATTTTCATCAGACCCTTATACAATGAGTATTTGATTAACACAGTTTAGCAGACAAGCCAATTCCTCAGCCCCACAAGAATTTACCCAGTGTAGCCTAGTGCTATCCCTAGCCCTTGGGCCCCTGTCTTTTGGCTACTTTCTCCTTCTGGTCCAGGGGTCTATGCAGGGGTCTTCCCTGATGACATGCAGCTGGTTATGAAAGATCTGAATGTAGCAAATCTATAAATTTTCCCAGTTATTATCTTAACCTACTGAAATCCCTTTTTTTTCTGCACATTGAGGACACTATCAGAATCACTGGTCTCACTCGGGCTTGAGCTGTTGCTTTTCATTTCTTATGGGTATGATAAAGGCACTTCCTCGTAGCTGGAGACTTAGGCAAAGTTGCTTTGCATCTGATGTGTTTTAACAGACATTTAATAAACAGAATTAATAAACTAACCTTTTAAAGCTTTTAAAGTATAAATAAAATAAAATAAAATAAAATAAAATAAAATAAAATAAAATAAAATAAAATAAAATAAAATAAAATCTTGAAAGGGACAGACATTTCCAGTCAGGCCTCACTTTGTACTTTGGCATACAGCAGAAAGTTCAGACCCCTTTTAATAGTTTTGAGAGTTTTCATATTCAAGACAGGAAAAGGTCTATATCAGAGATGTGAGGATATGATAAGAGTTTATTCCTTATTCATGAGAAAGTGACTGCTCACTGTTTCTTGCCATTAAGCCACAACTAGATCCTCTTTATTATTTAGTAAGAAGAGGTCAACTTTCAATAGTCTTCAGGGCATTAAAGATGTTCCCTCCCATTACTGCTTTGACTTTTGTCTCAGAAGCACAGAGAGCTGGGAGGCTCTGGTACAACCCAGTCAACATTTCTGTCTTTGGCTATTTCTGTAAAAGTCTCACTGCACCACAGCACAGATCCAATGCAAACAATGCCACGGGTCACCTCAACAGTCCACTATGTAATTAAGGGCTCGATCTGATAAGCTTGGAAATAACGTTATTTCCATATGAGGAGACATTTCTAAAACCCTTGTGTATTGGGATTACATGGCAAAGGTTTGGTAGCAGGGGACTGCAAGGGTGGCCTCTGTGAGCAGAGTCCAGCATCTGCCCCATGTCAGAGCAGAGCCAGCTCCAGCTGCTCCAAACAAGGACCCACCACTGGCCAGAGCTGAGCCAGGAAGCAATGCTGGGTGGGCCTCTGGGAGAGCAGAGTTAAGGTAGGGAAAAATACTGCTGTGCTACAGCAGCTGGGAGAGAGGGGTGAGAAGCAGCCCTGAAGACCCGAAGGTCAGTGCCGCAGGAGGGCAGGAGGTGCTGCAGGCAGGCAGGCAGCAGCAGTTCCCCTGCGGGCTGTGCAGGGAGAGGCCCCTGGTGGAGCAGGCTGTCCCCCTGCAGCCCATGGGTCCCCCATGGAGCAGATCTCCACGCTGCAGCCCCCCCATGGGTGGAGGAGCCCCCGCTGGAGCAGGTGGATGTGGCCTGGAGGAGGCTGCGGCCCATGGAGAGCCCCCGCAGGAGCAGGCCCCGGGCCGGAGCTGCAGCCCGTGGAGAGGAGCCCACATGGAGCAGGGGCAGAGAGGGACCGAGAAGGAGTGGTGGAGATGAAGTGCTACAGACTGACCACAACCCCCCGTCCAGTCCCCCTGTTCCCCTGCGCTGCACGGGGGGAGGAGCTGGAAGAGCTCAGATGGGGGGAAGGAAGGTGGTTTTGGTTTCTTTCCTTTGGTTCTCACTTGTCTAGCCTGGGAGTAGTAGTAGTTAGGCCGGAAATCTTCCTGTCTCCCTATGCTGAGTCTGCTTTGCCCATCACGATCCTTGTTGAGCGATCTCCCTGTCCTTGTCTCAACCCTTGAGCCCTTTGCATCGTATTTTCTCTCCCTTTCTCTTTGAGGAGGGGGAGGGAGAGAGTGGCCGTGATGGAGCTCGGCTGCCCACCCACCGAAAAGCACTGCAGCTGCAAAGGACTGGAAAAGTTTTCAGAAGCAACAAGGTGTTTAACAAGGAAATGTAGAGTTTCCTTTTTCAGGCTTCCTAAATAATTGGGCTTATTTCATATTCCCAACTCGGAGGAGGAGAATTGTTGATTTCACCTTCTTTTTTCTTCCTTGGAAATCAAAGGTGAACAGCTCTAAAAGTAAGGGGAACGTATCAGAAGCAAGCTTTTTTTTGCTTGTAAGCCTTTCTTAAGGAAAAGATTGATCACACACCTTCCACAGATGTAGGGGGGCAGAGAATAATTTTGGAACTACTCCAATTAAAGTCAGCTTGGGGAGAGTGGTACTTCTCTACTTGTTTCTGAGACATTTGCATTAGCAACAGAGAGTGTTGTGTTGCCGCTGCCAGGGGCCTACGGTGATGACTTCAGCAACAGAATTGAATGATGTCACTGTGACACCTTGGGAACAGCTGCCTCTGAGCAAGTTGAGCGAGGAGGGACAGAGAAGTGTGCTGGATGAAACCACGTGAGGACTTGTGGATCCCACGTGGAGGTGCATCGAGAGGGCCCACCCTTCTGTAAGTGTTTGGACGCTTCCTTTTAGTCTTCTGTAGTTTGTGTAAAGTCCTTTCACAAGCATGAAGTTTGGTACTTTGGCTCAGTGATGTAGCTGCACAGAGTGACAGGTGCAACATGTGGCTGAGGGCCTCTGCACGTTCTCTCTTTCCCACACACGATCAAGAAAGAAGGGTAGACAAATAAGAGTGTGCTGTGGTCCTGCCATAGACCTCAAGTACTACAGCATAAACAAGAGACTTGAAAGTAGCCCATCACATTAAACTTCAGGACAGCAATGCACTTCATCAGCTGCTCTGGCCTGTTGAGTGGAGTGTCTCAGGACGGAGTGGATGAAGATGCACTCCATCTGCTTTCAGATTAGCACTTGCAGTGAGCAAGCTGCCTGGCCTTAACATTTTTCATTTCATTTTTCACCCGACTTTTGCTGGTTCTTCTTGGTCTAGAAAAAAAAAAAAAAAAAAAAGTGAACTCAGATCAAAATAGAAGGATTTCCTTTTCATTAATTCCATGTTCTTAACTTGACAGATTTGGTTATTGACGTAGAAGGGACGTATCTGGCCTGACTGCAACACCCATGCTCGCAGTGTGGACAGTTCTCATAAAGCTGATTCAGGGTAGTTTCTGGAAACGAAGACATCAGATGGCAAAGGTAATCTCCCAAATTTTTTTTTTTTTTTTTTTTTTTTTTTTTTTTTTTTTTGTGCTAATGCAGGAAAGGCAAGTAAGAGTAAAAGTAAGAGTCCAGATAGTGTAAGAAGCAGCAGCTGTGAAGGAAACTTCCTTCTGGCTGATATGGCTCCACATCTAGTTGTGGAGGTCATAGTGCAGGTGGAAGCATGTTCTCGTCCAAATACTTAGCTCTCTGTTTTCACAACAGGTCTAGCAGCAGAATGTCTTTGAAACAACTGTGCCTATGACCAAGTTCATGCATCGTGGTAGACGAGGTAAAAGCTCTGGACAAGCAAAGGGGAGGGATGGATGGGCATGCAATACGATCACTTCAATCTTATCTCTCTAAGAAACCTTACTGAGAAAACAAAACAGAACAGAAAAAAACAGAACAGAACAAAACAGAACAGAACAAATGAAACAAACAGCTAGCTTGCTGGAGACATTGTCTGGGAAACAGTGAAAACACTTGCAGACAAAAACATATCAAAGGACTAACACTTTGAGCTTGATTCTAAACCAACATCCTCAACTCCAACTCTTGTTTATGTTCATTACAGACTGGTAGAATAACATGTCACGTTTGATGACTTTGCAGCATAGATGTCAGGAATGCAGCTTGGGATCACCTGCTTCTACTTAGAGTTCGGTCTGAAGGGATGAGCAAGTAATTGTTCCTGGGCTGATGGAAATCTGTTCTAAAGTCTGTTTTCTAACACTCTTCTAGATGCTTCTCTGTCCATCGCTCTGACCTGCCAACTCTGGTGCAAGTGTGCAGTTGTGGCAAGAGGGATTTCCTAGTCCTGATTTGACCTGGTGGACACCAACTTTCCTAGTCAATTGCCGATGTTGCTGAGGAGGCAGCAGTATCAAAGCCCTTGTTGATGAAGATAGAACAAGTCTGGGGAGGCTTTGGCATTTCTGCACAATGCTGCTTCCTGATTGTGACCCAAGACGCAGATTCTGAACTAGGCAAAGTAAGCTAGAGTAAGCTAGACTGCATGTCCTGGTCATTTTCTTTTCTTTCTTTATTTTTCATTCGTCGCTCGTAAGAAAATCTAAATCTTTCAACCATTTGTTTGAAAACACAGTTTTATGGAAATGATTGTGGGTGTGCTCCTTAACCTTGTTTGGAACCTGTTTAACCTCGCTTCAGTTAGAGGAGACCTGTGCTCAAATTTATGCTTACCATGATCAAGTGGCATCCTTTTTCCTTTTGGTATTCTTGACTTTGGCGCTTGCAAGTGAGGTTGAAAAGAGTTCTCAGGATGATTCTTCTTTTCCTTTGCCGTATCCCAAACTCCAGATTACACCTGATCTTCATCTCTGATCTGAAAAGCTTCGCAGGCCAAAAGAGAATTGAGATGAGGAGTGAAATACAGAATGCTGGTGAATCTTTCCAGTTCCCACCCGTAACTTTTGTGAGAGAAGCAGGTGCGTTGCTGTAGTGGTAGGAAGTCAATAAGATAACGATCGTGCCCTTGAAGGCGAGTAATGGTATAAAGATGAAGAATGCAAGGCCCTGCTTAAAGACAGTCTTTAGGCTGCTTCTGGATCAGCAGTTTGTTTGGTTCTTGCACAGCCTCATCTCCACTTGCTTAGAAGCTGTGAAGATGGGAAGAACTCTTCGTGTTTTTCATCCACTCTCAACCTCATCTCCATTTCCTCCGAAGCTGTGAATATTGGAAGTACACTTGGTTCTTCCAATGATGTGAAGAGCCAAGTGTCTTGGGTCTTCCATCAGCTCAGAGATATCAAGAGAATATGGTATTTGCTTGATGGGACAGTACTTAATTTAGGTATTTATGAAGTGAAGAAGAACACTGAAACCAGCCAAAGCCGTATCAGACATGGTAAGGCCATGCTTCTGTTAGGAAGTAATTCAGAGTGCTTCCATGGTGTACTTTGGACAGATGAACTCTGGTCCTCTGGACTAAGCACCCCCAAGGGACAATTCTCTGAAAAATCTCTCGGAATGATCTGTCCTTATCTCTTCCACTGTAGTCTCCATTAGGAAAGGATAAATATTCATTGCCCATGTGGAAAGGAGCTCCTCATGTAGTTGTTTCTAACCAAAATCTCCTTCTTGTGTTCTGTTGACAGAAACCACTTGGCGAGCCAAGCCAAATCACCGAAAATGGAAGTAGTGGAACTACTGCCAAACCGTGCTGCTGCTTCTAAACCAAACTGCAGTGTAGGTGGGGACAGAGCAAGGGGACACAACCCAGCCAGGGCGAAATTGAAAGTCACCTGTCTGAGCCGCGGAAGGAAGTCAGCATTTCCCAGTTTGAGACTGTTCCCTGACTGGTCCCACAGCAGCTGGAACGCTTCCGATTGCTGCTGATGGATTCCCATGGATCAGCCAGTGACACAAGCTGCCAGAGCGACTGAAGCGATCTGGAGTTACGCTTCTCCCCCTTCTGCGTTCAGATCCGTGAAAGGAAGGAGAAGAGGGGAGAAGAAGAGGGGAGAAGAGAAGAGAGGGGGAAAGAAAAGGACAAGAAGGGAGGGAAGGGGAGGGAAGGGGAGGGAAAGGGAGGGAAGGGGAGGGAATGGAAGGGAAGTACAGGGCAGGGCAGGGGCATGTAGGGCATAGTAGGGGAGAGTAGGCTAGTGTAGGATAGCGTTGGGATAGTGTAGGATAGTGAGGGGAGTGTAGGGGAGTGTAGGGGAGGGGAGTGTAGGGGAGGATAGTGTAGGGAGGGGGAGTGCAGGGGAGGGGAGTGCAGGGGAGTGTAGTGTAGGGGGGTTTGGGGGAGTGTAGTGTAGGGGAATGTAGGGGAGGGGAGTTTAGGGGAGTATAAGGGAGCGGAGTCTAGGGAAGGGGGAGTGTAGGGGAGGGGGAGTGTAGGGGAGGATAGTGTAGGGAGGGGAGTGTAGAGGAGGGAAGTGTAGAGGAGCATAGGGGAGTGGAGTGTAGGGGAGTTTAGGGGAGGGGAGTTTAGGGGAGGGAGGGAGTTTAGGGGAGTTTAGGGGAGGGGAGAGGAGTTTAGGGGAGGGGAGTTTAGGGGAGGGGAGTTTAGGGGAGGGGAGGGGAGTTTAGGGGAGGGGAGTTTAGGAGAGTTTAGGGGAGGGGAGGGGAGGAGAGGGGAGGAAAGTTTAGGGGAGTTTAGGGGAGGGGAGTTTAGGGGAGGGGAGTTTAGGGGAGGGGAGGGGAGTTTAGGGCGTTTAGGGGAGTTTAGGGGAGGGGAGTTTAGGGGAGGGGAGGGGAGTTTAGGGGAGGGGAGTTTAGGGAGGGGAGTTTAGGGGAGGGAAGGGGAGTTTAGGGGAGGGAAGTTTAGGGAGGGGAGGGGAGTTAGGGGAGTTTAGGGGAGTTTAGGGGAGGGGAGAGGAGGGGAGGGGAGGAGAGGGGAGGGGAGGGGAGGGGAGGGGAGGGGAGGAGAGGGGAGGGGAGGGGAGGGAGGGGAGGGGAGGGGAGGGGGTGGGTATTGGTGGGAAGTAAGGAATGGGCCAGGGAGGGAATGGGAGGGGAGGGGAGTGCTACCCTAAATAAAATGGCCAAAAAGTGACATTTTGGATCTGGAGCCAAATATGTATGTTGCCATTCATTCCACAACGCGATTCAGCACTGCAATCTGCGTTTTGCACAGTGCCATTAAGGGTTTGGCATGCACAGAGGTGACTGAGTATTTTCAGAACTAACTTTCCTTCCTAACTGATTGGAGACTTTTGCTGGTGTTATAAATGGCTCAGTCTTCCAAATAGGGCGAGAATCAAAGTTTCCAATGTATGAAAGGAACGCATTTCCCTTCAAGCTCTCTATTGACACGAATTGCTAAAACCTTCCTCACACTGGAATGCAAAAGATCAGGTGATTGGTTAACGTAGGGTTGGCAGCTGAGCAGGGGAAACATCTTCAAAACTTCCAAATATTTCCCCTATGCACAACTCCAACTCCTTCTTCTCTGCTCTCTGGTTGTGAAAGTTTCTGTCACCTGCTCAGGAAGCAGAAGCAGTCAAATGGGATTTCGAGGGATCCAGCTACAGCATCAGTGCCAGTTAGAGGAAGCAATCAATTCCCAGGTAGTCCAGGGTTTGAAGAGAGTTTAAGCAGCTTTCCAAGGAACATGTCCAAGTGCAAAGCAACCAATTGATCTGACTGTCCAGTGAAAGAAAAGGAAGTGAGAGCAGCAAATGCTTGAGAGAGGGAAACCTTTTTGAAGCACAGCCATTTTGGGCCGAGACCTGTTAATGTGCTAGGCAGTCCCAGGAAGCGTCAAAGTGTGAGCCGTGCTCTCCAGCACTGGCGTCCTGCACTTTCTGGAGGTTCTTGATTCTGTAATCAGAATTCCAACAATCTCCTCAACAGCATACAGATCCAAAACCCACAGACCCAGATCAAGCAGCCTCCCATCTGGTTGTATCATTGTCAGGCATGCATTCTTTTCTAGTAACTGGTCCTTTCTTCCTTAGTTCAGATCAAACACAAATAACAAAATTCAGATGACTCCTAAACTCTCCAGACAGCTCTGGTGTTGCTGTAGGATGGAATACAATTGTTTTCCTTACAACCCCCCAGTTCTTTCCATGTCTGTTCTGGACCTTGGGATCTCTTTTGGGAGCTACATTACGCAGAGAACTACAATAAGGCTGAGATCACCGCTGCCTCAATGTAATGCAAAGGTGAAGGCCTTTATGACAGCCAGTTTGGAAATGAATGCAGCCCCATCTTGTCAGCATCAGAGCAGAGCCAGCTCCAGATGGCTCCAAAAAGGACCTGCTGCTGGCCAGAGCCGAGGCAGGGAGTGCTGCTGGGTGGGCTTCGGGGGAGCAGATTTAAGGAAGGGGGGAAAATACTGCTGTGCAACAGCAGCTGGGAGAGAGGCTTGTGAAAGCGTGAGAGAAGCAGCCCTGCAGCTCCCAAGAGAAGTGCCGCAGGAGGGCAGGAGGTGCTGCAGGCAGGCAGGCAGCAGCAGTTCCCCTGCGGGCTGTGCAGGGAGAGGCCCCTGGTGGAGCAGGCTGTCCCCCTGCAGCCCATGGGTCCCCCATGGAGCAGATCTCCACGCTGCAGCCCCCCCCATGGGTGGAGGAGCCCCCGGTGGAGCAGGTGGATGTGGCCTGGAGGAGGCTGCGGCCCATGGAGAGCCCCCGCAGGAGCAGGCCCCGGGCCAGAGCTGAGGCCCACGCAGGAGCAGGGCTCAACCCTTGAGCCCTTTCTATTGTATTTGATACCTCATTTCCTTTGATGACAGGGAATGAGAAAGGAGCTGTGGTGAATTTCAGATGTCCAGCAGGGCAAAACCACCACAACTTGCTCTGATACATGTTGAATCCCCTGTACGGATTATAAAACAGTTCCTTAAAAACCCTCCATTTTTTTACACCAGTGAAGTTCTGATACATAACTAAAGTCAAGATAATCTTTGTAACTTAAAACTGTACAGTTTTAAGGAGTGATCAGGTCTCTTGTGGCTTTTGGAGCTGAGGGGGACTGTGCCTCCATTTTGACAAGATTATTTTGAATTCTTCAGTGTTCTTGCAGCTGCTCTTTGTTTGCCACTGCTCACAAGTGTCCTAACTATGCTTTCTTTTCCATCATCTAGATCATAATAAAAATATTGACTAGAACATCACTGAGGACAGTCCCCAGAAGAATCATATTCAATACATCCTTTCATTCAGGCAATGAAACATCAATAATTCTAGTGAATTTCTGATCCGTCTGGAAATCCTATCCTTCAGAAAAAGTGCTCTGAAGTATTTGGCCATATGATCTCTACAGTCACTGCTAGCTTTGCAGCATTCCACATCATGCAACACACAGCACAAAATAATTTCTATCATTCTAACATTTGAAAGAAAGTAAGGTGTTAGAGATCAGAAAACATTTGGCGTACAGAGGCAACACTATCCACAAGTGGTTGTGGTTGTAGTTTACTGTCTTGAGCTAGGCTGCTTCTCAGGGTGGAATTCAATATTTCAGAATAGAACTCTCTGCTGCAAACTGGTGACTAATCTGCTAGGCTGCCTGGAAAAGTGGGCAGCATTGATCAGCTGAACAGCATGTGGCTTTTTCTGTGATGCTGCTCACAGCCTGGTAGATAATGGTTTCATCTACATTAATACTTTCCTAAATAATCATACTTTCCTAAAACTACAGCTGCCAGAATACTTTGAGTAGCTTACACACATGTTTATTTTAACACAGGAATTAATTCCCAAGGCTTATTTGTAAAGTAGCATCATCAGTCCTGGTGAACTAGGAGTGACAGTCCCTGTGTGTGCTCCTGTCTAGGCAGCAAGAAAAAATGCATGTCCATTTGTTCCTCCCTGCTACATACGTTTTCTTCTCCCAGATTTACAACACCAGCTTTCACCTAACCATCACCTGCACTCATCACAAACTATTAGTCCTCCTTGCTTGCTCATGCAGGCGTAGTTGTTCCAGGCTCTGTATCTCCTTCTGCCTTGCTGGTCCACTTCTGACATACATCCTGGAGACCTGTGGGCCAGGGAGCTGGCAGCTCCAGTGCTAAGCTAAGCTCCTGCACTCAGGGAAGCAGGCAAGAGCT